CGCCAAGATGAAACTAAAACTCAAGAAGCACTGGACAACGGCGCGGACAACATCACAAAAGTTTAACACGGCCTTTCTTCGAGATGCTGACAAACTCAACGAATTTAACATAGCCCTCAGCAACAGGTTCCAGGCCTTTCATGACCTACTCAATGGAGAGGGAACCACCATAGAGAGCAGCTGGAAAGGTATCAAGGAGGCAATCGTTTCAACGTGTCAAGACGTTCTGGGCCAAAAGAAGCACCATCACAAGGAATGGATCACTGTTGGTACACTGGATAAGATTGAAGCAAGGAGGAACAAGAAGGCAGCAATCAATATCAGCCGAACAAGAGCGGAAAAAGCCAAGGCACAAGCCGAATACACAGAGGCAAACAAGCAAGTGAAGAGGAGCATCAGGACCGACCGACGTAAATATGTGGAAGATTTAGCGATGACAGCGGAAAAGGCTGCAAGAGAGGGAAACATGAGACAACTGTATGATACAACAAAGAAAGTTGCTGGAAATTACCGTCAACCAGAAAGACCAGTGAAAAACAAGGAAGGCAAAGTAATCAACGATATTGAAGAACAACGAAACAGGTGGGTAGAACACTTCAAGGAACTCTTGAATCGACCAGCTGCACTGAACCCACCCAACATCGAAGCAGCACCCACAGACCTCCCAATCGATATTGGCCCACCAACAATTGAAGAGATCAGCATGGCCATTAGACAAATCAAGAGCGGCAAAGCAGCAGGACCAGACAACATCCCGGCAGAGGCACTGAAAGCAAATGTAGCAGCAACTGCCAAGATACTCCACATCCTCTTCAGTAAGATTTGGGATGAAGAACAAGTACCAACAGACTGGAAAAAAGAACTTCTGATCAAGATACCAAAGAAAGGTGATCTGAGCAAATGCGACAACTACAGGGGCATCACTCTTCTCTCAATACCAGGAAAAGTCTTCAACCGAGTATTGTTAAACAGGATGAAGGATTCCGTGGACGCCCAACTTCGAGATCAACAAGCTGGATTTCGTAAGGATAGATCGTGCACAGATCAAATCGCAACTCTGCGGATCATTGTGGAACAATCAATCGAATGGAATTCATCACTCTACATCAACTTCATCGACTAAGAGAAGGCATTTGATAGCGTGGACAGGACGACACTATGGAGGCTTCTTCGACACTACGGCGTGCCTGAGAAGATAGTCAATATCATACGGAACTCCTATGATGGACTAAACTGCCAAATCGTCCACGGAGGACAACTCACCGACTCGTTCGAGGTAAAGACCGGTGTTAGGCAAGGTTGCTTACTCTCACCCTTTCTCTTTCTCCTGGTGATCGACTGGATTATGAAGACGTCAACATCTGGAGGAATGCATGAGATACAGTGGACAGGCAGGATGCAGCTTGACGATTTAGACTTCGCGGATGATCTGGCTCTTCTATCACAAACGCAACAACAAATGCAGGAGAAAACGACCAGTGTAGCAGCAGCCTCAGCAGCAGTAGGTCTCAATATAAACAAAGGGAAAAGCAAGACTCTCCGATACAACACAATATGCACCAATCAAATTACACTTGATGGAGAAGCTTTGGAGGATGTGGAAACCTTTACATATCTGGGCAGCATCATTGATGAACACGGTGGATCAGATGCAGATGTGAGGGCGCGGATCGGCAAAGCAAGAGCAGCATATTTACAACTGAAGAACATCTGGAGCTCAAAACAATTGTCAACCAACACCAAGGTTAGAATTTTCAATACAAATGTCAAGACAGTTCTTCTGTATGGGGCAGAGACGTGGAGAACTACGAAAGCCATTATCCAGAAGATACAAGTGTTTATTAACAGCTGTCTACGCAAGATACTTCGGATCCGATGGCCAGACACTATCAGCAACAAGTTACTGTGGGAGACAACAAACCAGATTTTAGCGGAGGAAGAAATCAGGAGGAAGCGCTGGAAGTGGATTGGGCACACTTTGAGGAAATCACCCAATTGTGTCACAAGACAAGCCCTCACATGGAATCCTGAAGGTCGAAGGAGAAGAGGAAGACCAAAGAACACATTACGCCGAGAAATAGAGACAGACATGAGAAGAATGAACAAGAACTGGAAAGAACTAGAAAAGAAGGCCCAGGACAGAGTGGGTTGGAGAGAGCTGGTCGGCGGCCTATGCTCCATTGGGAGTAACAGGCGAAAGTAAGTAAGTAAGTAATTCTGTGTGCACTTGTACAATGTATAGTAGAACCGACACATATTGTTTTGGAAGATGATCCGTCATTGATAGACCTTGTCCTCACACACCACTGTGAAGATGCTGTCAACATATCAGCACCTTCCCCCACCAGTGAATAGTGATCATACTGTACTTCATTTTAAATTACGAGCACATGGTATACAATTTGCACCTTCTCTACATCGCCTCTATATCTGGAGAGCTAATATTCCGGCAATCAGAGACTCTGCTATCTCGATTGACTGGTCGGTCGACAGATTGATCGATGACGAATGGAATAAGTTTGAGGCTACATCCGATTCCGTAACACAACCGTTTATCCCATGGTCAACACGTAAGCTGTCACATCGCCCTCCATGAATTAATAAGGAAACCCGGAAGTTGTTGAATCGTGGGTAACACTTATGGGACTTATTCTTGTCAACAGGACAGGCATCACTTCAGTGCAAATATTAAAAATCCGGAATACATGTGCAAAGACCATAGCTAAATCTTGTACCACTTACGAACGACAATTGTCATATGATAGTTGTGTTTGTCAGAAGCGATTGTTTTGATTAAACGGCGAACAAAACGTGGTGATGGTATTCTCGCCTTATTATTACACGAAAATTCAGATATACTAGCGGAATCAGGTTTAGAAAAACCTGAGACATTTTCAAACTACTTTAGTGAAGTCTGCTGTACGTGTAGTGTTACAAATACTTGTCCCAATCACACCGAGATACCAGCCATAGGATCTGTACATGTGACTGAGGAAACTTTTCTTCCATCAATAACTAACCTCAAATGTTTTAAGAAACCGGGCCCCGAAGGATTGCATCCACATTTGCTGTCATCGCTCGCGGATATCATTTTAAGACCGCTCGCGACGCACTTCAACATATCCGTTTCACTCGCTCAACTCGCTAGAGATTGAAAAGATGCTATAGTCAGTCCTATATTTAAGGATGGACGGAAAGGGATCGTATCTAACTACCGGCCTGTCAGCCTATCCAGCATAGTCGTTAATTTACTTGAAAAGATAATTCGGGTTAAGCTAGTAAATCACATGGATTCATGCGATCTGTTAACTCCTGAGCAACATGGGTTTCATAACGGGCGTTCATGCCTGACTAACTTATTGTGAGAGAGGATTGGACAGCAACCCTAGATAACGACCTGTCTGTGGATGATATTCACAGATTTTTGCAAAATGGTTGACAACCTTTCGCACTTAGGTCTTATGCAGAAGCTCTTCAGCTATGGAATAACTTGTACTGTACAGGAATGGATGGAAAACTTCTTACGTGAGTGCAGATAGAGAGTGAAGGTCAATGGATCGCTACCCGAGTGGAAGCCGGTCAAAAGTGATGTACTTCAAGACACCATCTTAAACCCTCTACTTTTCCTCCTCTATATTGATGAATTACCGCTATTTCTTAAGTCGTCAACACTATTATTCGCTGATGATGTTAAAATCTAGAGAATAATAAGAAGTGAGGCTGATCGTTTTCATCTCCAAGCTAAGACGAATTAGTTAGATGGGCTCCTGGTTGGGGTTTGGAAGTAAATTCTGAGAAGAGCGTGCTCATGCACATCGGACACGGTAGTAGTTAAGATTGTACCACTGATGGTTCATCTCTTCCACGCATTCAAGAACAAAAAGACGTAGGAGTAATAATAAGTCAAGACATGAAAACAACTACGCACTGCAACGCAGCTGCTTGCAGAGGTCATCGTTCGTTATGGTCACTTCGCCGAGCATTCAGATACTTTGACGAGGAGATGTTTCGGATTTTATATCTCACCTAAGTAAGAGCACACTTACAGTACTAACTCACTTGAGCGTGCCCAGTGTGAGGGGACGAAATTGGTAAAGGGGCTGTAGTGACCGACTTTTATGACGAAAACGCGCTTGGTATGATGGAAACAATTATTATTATAACCAATTGTACCAGCGATTGTTTTACTGTTTTTGTTTGTTCAACTGTACCAAAAGCACTTTTCGTTCCGTCGTCCACCTTGCTTGTACGAACGAACTTAAGCTCCACGGTTTTGCCTGTAATTTTTGGAACGCCTCGGCATTCTTTCGATACCACGAGATCGCCGACAAATATATCTTATCTGGACCATTAACAGCCTTCTGGTGTTTGGCCTGTCGAGGTATCCAAGTCCATATCTGGCACGTGATCTTATTGTAGTGGTGATCGTAGTCAGTCGCGGCTCGACACCCATCGACAGGTCTTTCTAAACTCTCTTATGATGAGTGTTTAAAAGGTCTAAACGTTTTCCCCTCATTGTATCATAGGATGCCAGGTGACCTTCTACTGGCATTTTGTATCTTTACTGATGATTCGGATGTCAATATGTCTTATCTTTTCGCTCCCTCCAGCACCGACAATCTCCAAGGTAATAGCAAAAAGGTTCACAAACCGCGATCTAATAAACTTAAAGTGGGGTCCCGTTTTTCTTATTGAGTGGTCTGTAACTGGAAGGTTTTTTCCAAATAAGTGGTATCACCCCAACTGGAAGCCAGTCTGTCGGGATTAACACAGGTTCACCAACCTACTATCCCTATTACTGAAGACTGAAGACATATAAGGCACCAAGGCAAGAATAAATAAAAGGATCACAATGTCGAGATACCGTTTGTCTAAAAACAATGCATATTCACGACGGCCACTCTAACATCTCATTCTTCTGTTATTATGTAAATTGAAGCGACATGAGTTACCGCGTAACATATTCGATACGGAACTTACAAACTGACGCGGGTCATTACATGTGGACGTTACTCCGCGTTTCAGGTGAGCTGTCGTATTATGTTTGAAACTCTCGGAGTATGCCGATTAAAGTGAAAAATATTGTCTTCAACACTGAAAAAGGCGAAACAATTTTGTTTTATGCTTGCAATTGCACTAAGCATGTCACTGGTTTAGTGATAAAGTTAAGTTGTAGTGATTGGTTTTTAATGTGACTTAACTCCACGACCAAGCCAAATTTTCCACAAGACTTTATGCCTAAAAATGTTCCATTATGCGCACGAGTGATTATTTGTCATCCATCAGTCACTCTGGCAATCAATAAACACTGCACAGTTATTAGATCTGATAAGATGGAATTGTTTGGTTTGGTTTCCTTTACCGGAAAAACTCAACAGTTTTCATTGGCGAGAGATTTCCCTCTTCTATAAATCCAAAGTAATCGATAAGAAGGTGAAAATATGTCTATCTAGGTATTGCGTGAGCTATCTAACATTTTTACACACTGGTATATTTTTTTAATGTTATGACCTCCGCACATTAACATTCACTTTTGTCTATTTAAAGTGAATAAACACTCAACCTTCAAATCTTGGATTTCACGTTGGCACCCTGAAAACCCACATTTTTGGCAGTCTAGTAGCATTACGTTTCTTCACAATCTCCTAGTTGAGTCCATTGACTAATACTTTATTGTTTGATTGCACCTATGAAGCAGGCTTGACTAATAATTATAAACGACCTTTGAACGAGTCTTAAGTAACCTTGATAAATATTAGTCAATCGGGAAACAGTATAGAGTAAGAATATTAAAGTGTGCACACTTCTTTTACATGGTCCAAAAACTTGTCAAGGTTAGGAAGAGGTTCATAGGTCCTAAAATCGCAACGCATACGGTAGAGGAACTCATCCATATGGCTTTATAATATTTGGCCTCTGAGGCCTTGGCAAGGTCTCAAAAGCTCTCTCAGCCTCGACCACATAGCTTCAATATCCTTTGTGTGTATTCCGGTTGTGTAAGCTTATCATTTATTATAATTTGCCTTAGTTTCAAACTGGATCAAGCGAGGGAAGTTCCTATTCTAGCAGACGTCTTCCTCCAACATATATTACATTGAAGGAAAACATCACAGTAGTCTGCATAAGGTCTACAGGTCGTCTGATTACCTCAATTACAAACAAAGGAACTTCCTAGTAGTCCCATTTATTGTAGCCGCTTAATTGTCACATCTTCTCTAAAATCCTTTGTGAACCGACCGAGCATGAGCATCAGGTGCTGAAATTGGCGCCGTGGCCTTGAAATCCTTCAAACGCTTCTGACTGGCTCGTCCATAAATTATAGTTTCACCGTCCATCCTGTAAAATGATCATACTTTAAAATTCATCTATGTTCATTGCTAAGGATATTTGCGATTTATGACGTATTAGTAACAGTCTGCCTAGTCGCGTTAACCAGACTGTTTGCAACCAGGCTGACTAAACTTAGGATCTTTTTTATCACTGTACCACATGTTTACTCATCTTTTATAAGTCTCTGTTCAGTTTGGCACTAAGAATAGTATTTCTATGCTGCAACGCCATGCAACTCAGTTCTTTTCACGTCCCAACCATTCACTAACGTGATGATATTATGTGCACCGTTTCTTTTCGCCAAATAGGAACTGGTTTCAACGTACCACGTAAAATTTGGTTATATGAAACTTTAAAGTAAACTCCAAAAATGAAATGTACTCATTCACATAAACTAATTTTGTTCCCTTAGCAACTATTTTAAATAAGTGGACTAATGAACATACCTTCAAAGGATTCACTCCATAATTATTTTGGTAGATATGACAGAGGACTTGCTACTTAGTTACATATATTTTATTTAGCTGAATTTTTTAAAATGTCATTTGTTTTTTTAGAAATCAATGGGATGATCAAATGTATTTGTCCATGCTTCATGCAAATAAGTCGATAGGTAATACTGATATAGGTTTGCAGTAGAATTGAGGGACAGATGCCTTAGAAATATTGCTCGCATCTGCTGGGATCACCGGGTAAGTAATAGTGAGGTTCGACGCAGGGTATTAGGAAATGATGGTAAATCAGTTGATGAGGTGATGAATCTTCATCGACTGAGATGGTTGGGCCACGTGTTACGTATGCCTGAACACCGATTACCACGAGGTGCTATGCTGACTAGTGTAGGGGATGGTTGGAAAAGAGTTAGGGGCGGCCAAACCAAAACATGACATCAGTGTTTGAAGTCACTAACTTCTAGCCTGAGCCATGTTGGCAGATGCAGACTACCTGGTTGGGGTCCGCGTGACTATCGTAACCAATGGTTGGAGACTGTAGGTGACATGGCTCAGAATCGATCACAATGGCGTAGGTGTATACACTCTTTATCTTCCCTTAAACCTTGAGATTAAAATTGCTTCATAACTTTATTCCTTCCTTTACTATATCCTTATATACAACCTATCTTTTATATACTACCACCACTAAATTAACTATTTCTATGAATCCGGTGTTCATCTTGTTGTGCTAACGAGGTATGGCAACTTGGATCGATGCATATATGTGCCTGGTCCTACGTTGTAGCTGATTGACTGAGGGACAAAAAATATTCAATCGTGATGTTAAAACCATATCTAGGTACTTCTAAAGTATCTACTGTATTAGGAAATAAGAGATTCGGTTTGTAATTTAGTGGCTATGGTGTTCGCCCATCCTCTCGACCATTAACTACAGTCTCCTACTTTACTCATAACACTACTGATACTATCATCTCATTCAATGTGTAGGCCTCAACTTATTACATAGAAAACACATTATTGCTAAGTTGTTAACTTATGGGCTTCAAAAGTCAGACTTCTCCGGTTCTTCGATAAGTGTTTTCTATAAAATCTTGGATAGTTTCAAAGTTTTAAGTGTTTGAGAACTGGGTGGATCATTCTCAGCTCTTGGAGTAGTTTTGTACTAGTTAGAGAAGTATCTTCTAATTTTCTGATACTGTCGACAAAAAATTGGGCCTAATAATCAAGTATTAATTCATTTGCGGAGTGTGCTAACTTCGAAATTGATACTCTTCGGTCCTTTCTGACATCTGCCCCCAAATGCCCTGGTACGGCCGAGAGTGGGGAGAGTCCGCTCTTCCTCTCGAAATGCTCTCTCATGGCCAGCGAATATATAGCCTCTGCCAGGGAAGTCCTACTCACTGCCTTCTCGTGACACAGGTGTTGTTTACGAAATTGAGAGGACGAAAGGCGAATGTCCGGCGCTTTAACCGAGTTGGTGGACAAGGCGAGTCCACCTAGGGGAGTTGGAAAACCCTAACTCCAAACCAATGGTGCACATGGGCTTCAGTATCCTGAGGGAACAAATGGCGTACGAATCAATCGTTGATCACCGGCTACCATGGGACTGCATCTCCTCACGATGCTCCACTGCCTTGTGGATCAGACCTTTAGGTCAAAGGCTCTGGGTGTGGCCCCCTAAGAAAACCACCTGCTTCAGTCTGGGCACCTGGGCAGTATCACAACCCTCACACAAATCAAATGAGATTTGTGAGGCACATATGTATCTGGTGCTTCCTTGTACCAATATTTATGTGTTTAAATAATATAAAATAATAAATTTATGACATCTAGTCATTTTTATTTATAATTATTGGTTATCAAACCAAGACACAGCATCGGTCCATGAAAACGCTGACTGTTTGAGTTAGTTGTGTTTTTATTTATTTATTTAAACACATAAATATTGGTACAAGGAAGCACCAGATACATATGCGCCATACAAATCTCATTCGATTTGCTTGAGGGCTGTGATACTGCCCAGGTGCCCAAACTGAAGCAGGTGGTTTTCTTAGGGGGCCACACCCAGAGCCTTTGACCTAAAGGTCTGATCCACAAGGCAGTGGAGCATCGTGAGGAGATGCAGTCCCATGGTAGCCGGTGATCAACGATTGATTCGTACGCCATTTGTTCCCTCAGGATCCTGAAGCCCATGTGCACCATTGGTTTGGAGTTAGGGTTTTCCAACTCCCCTAGGTGGACTCGCCTTGTCCATCAACCCGGTTAAAGCGCCGGACATTCGCCTTTCGTCCTCTCAATTTCGTAAACAACACCTGTGTCACGAGAAGGCAGTGAGTAGGACTTCCCTGGCAGAGGCTATATATTCGCTGGCCATGAGAGAGCATTTCGAGAGGAAGAGCGGACTCTCTCCACTGTCGGCCCTACCAGGGCATTTGGGGGCACAGACTGTCTATCCAGGTCTACACGACTAGTTTAGCCAATGCTTAGAAATTTTAGGTGGGACGGCTCAAAATTATTAACAATGATCGCATGTTCGGGATGCGATTCTCCCCCTCGAAATGAAAAATTCTACTTCAGGATTGGGTTGCATCGGCACCTGAACGAATGATAAGGAGTGAAGTAGTTGAGCGTGTCGACTGCTTCACTTATCTTGGGAGTCTTATCAGCCCTTGTGGTCTGGTGTGCGACAAAATCTGTGCTAATGGGGTATGAAAATTTGAAATAATGTATACATCCATTCATAAAATTTTCCTCTTCCAGTCCCACGTATTTTGTCTTCACATTTACAATAAAAATTTAGTATGAGAGGCACAACAAGTGCATCACATGGTTTCACAGTGTTGTGACGAAAATTGAGAAACAATGGTCTAACGTGATAAAGGAAAGGCTAAAGTTCCTTCGAAGTTCGTTTTTAAATCTTAGGTTTTTCATATCATGAATAATATCATCCGTCACTCTTTACTAATGTGTATAATTTCTAAAACACACCATCGTAAGGAATAAAGGGTCTGGGACAAATGTGTATCCCTCTAGGTTGTCTCAACTTACACCACACAAAGGGAAAAGAAATCAAGACAAAAAGCGAGAAAGTGAGAACAATAATTGATGTTGCAGCGGAAGATTGAATACAAAAAAATATAGTTCCTAGAAGTAAATGGGATTAAAGAATGAGTATGATATGGGCCAGCGTGAAATTTTTTAAACATGCGAATATCCAGGTTATTTCCAATTCACCACTTGAAGTCTGTGGAGATATAAACCAATTTTGTAATGACAATTTTTGTGGAGCAGTGGTTTCACTTTCACTCACTGGACTCCTACTTCGATGTAAGCTGCCGGGCAGTGTGGCTACTTCTTATTATTCAAGCAGGTAAATATTGGTACGATCGGGCGCCAAACATATATGCTCCACACTTAATTATTCGATTTGTGTGTGGGCTGAGATACTGTCCTGGCGCCCAAACCGAATAAGGTGGCTTTCTGAGGGAGCCACTCCTCAAGCTTTTGACGTAGAAGTCTGATCCGTAAGGCAGTGGAGCAACGTTAGGAGATGCAGTCTCATGGAAGCCGGTGACTAACATTAGGTTTATACACCATTTTTCCCTCAGAATCGTGGGGCTCATGTACAACATTTGTTTGGAATCAGGGTTTTCCAACTCCCCTAGGTAGATTCTCTGTACTCATTAACCCCATTAAAGCTCTGAACATCCGCTTTTCGTCCTCTTAATAGTGTAAATAACCTGCAGTCCAAGGTCGTGAGTAAGCTTTCCCTGGTAGTTTATTTTATTTTATTTAAACACATAAATATTGGTACAAGGAAGCACCAGATACATATGTGCCTCACAAATCTCATTCGATTTGTGTGAGTGCTGTGATACTGCCCAGGTGCCCAGACTGAAGCAGATGGTTTTCATAAGGGGCCACACCCAGAGCCTTTGACCTAAAGGTCTGATCCACAAGGCAGTGGAGCATCGTGAGGAGATGCAGTCCCATGGTAGCCGGTGATCAACGATTGATTCGTACGCCATTTGTTCCCTCAGGATACTGAAGCCCATGTGCACCATTGGTTTGGAGTTAGGGTTTTCCAACTCCCCTAGGTGGACTCGCCTTGTCCACCAACTCGGTTAAAGCGCCGGACATTCGCTTTTCATCCTCTCACTTTTGTGAACAACACCTGTGTCACGAGTAGGCAGTGAGTAGGACTGGTAGTGGCTATATACGTGTGGTTATGTGAGAGGATTTTGAGAGGGAGAACGGACTCTTCCCACCTTCGACCGTATCTGGGTATTTGGTGGCAGCGTGATTTGCCTTATCACCAAAAGTTGTAGCTCATAGCCGTGTACATTAATCTGTACTCGCTAAGTGGATTGAATCAACATTGATGTTCTGTACAAGTACGTTGCAGTTGCATAATAAAAGGAATATATTATACTCACGTATTAGCCTATATTTTTATATACAATAATATGATAGTCAATCAAAGCCGTTTTTCAAGTAACTTATATGTTATCACTGCTCACTTTAGAAGTTAAGTAGATATCATTGAGGAGAACGTTAACACGAACTGGCGAAAAAGAGCAAACCTACCTAGTCTCTTTGCTGGTTTAAGCAATTACAACAGGTGGCTAAGACAGTATTCACTTCCCATATTTCTGTTAGTGACGTAACTACTCCTACAGTATTTCATACAGAAATCCAAAAGATTCTCATGACTGTAAAACCTTCCATTCATCCATCCAATTTTGTGCTTATATATGCCATTAAACTATATTTTTAGAGTGAAAAACCTGTAAATCTTATTGTCTTAAGAATAAAGAGCTATATTGGGTCTTAAAACGTTTATTTATTTAAAAAATAGGTATGGCGTTTTATTTGACAGATTTCGAACGTTCCACAAAGTTTTTACTCATTCTTATCCTATTACGTACACCTCAGTCATCTTATGCTCAAATTGATGGAATCTACTGTGGTGAAGAAACCTGTTATGATGGTAAGTTTCGGAATTAGTATATTACTATATAACGTCTTAAAGAGTTTTAAAAATCGAGTGGTTGGAGTGAGGATATTCTGTCTAAGAAGTGTTTGTTGATAAGCTCAAATGCTACTAGTATACCACACTGATGTACTAATAGTCAGTCAGTCAGCTACAACGTAGGACCAGGCACATATATGCGTCGGTCCAAGTTGCTATACCTCATTAGCACAACAAAATTAACACCGAATTCATAAAAGTAGTTAGTTTAATGGTGGTAATATATAAAATAAAGATTTTATATAGGGATATAGTACAATTTTAATCTCAGTTTACGGGAGAAAGTGTATACACCTACGCCATTGTGATCGATTCTGAGCCATGTTACATAGAGTTTCCAACAATTGGTTATGATAGTCACGCGGACCCCAACCAAGCAGTCTGCATCTATCAACATGGCTCAGACTAGTAGAGGTTAGTGACTTTAAGCACTGGTGCCATGACTTGGTGTGGCCGCTCTTAACCCTGTTCCAACCATCTCCAATACTAGTCAACATTGTGCGCTGTTTTATTTATTTATTTATTTGTACACATAAATATTGGTACAAGGAAGCACCAGATACATATGCGCCACACAAATCTTATTTGATTTGTGTGAGTGCTGTGATACTGCCCAGGTGCCCAAACTGAAGCAGATGGTTTTCATAAGGGGCCACAGCCAGAGCCTTTGACCTAAAGGTCTGATCCACAAGGCAGTGGAGCATCGTGAGGAGATGCAGTCCCATGGTAGCCGGTGATCAACGATTGATTCGTACGCCATTTGTTCCCTCAGGATCCTGAAGCCCATGTGCACCATTGGTTTGGAGTTAGGGTTTTCCAACTCCCCTAGGTGGACTCGCCTTGTCCACCAACCCGGTTAAAGCGCCGGACATTCGCCTTTCGTCCTCTCAATTTCGTAAACAACACCTGTGTCACGAGAAGGCAGTGAGTAGGACTTCCCTGGCAGAGGCTATATATTCGCTGGCCATGAGAGAGCATTTCGAGAGGGAGAGCGGACTCTCGCTCTCAGCCGTACCAGGGCATTTTGGGGGCTGTGGTCATCGGTATTCAGGCATACGCGACACGTGGCCCAACCATCTCAGTCGATGAAGATTCGCAACATCATCAACTGGTTTACCATCATTCCCTAATACCTTGTGTCTAACCTCACTATTACTTACCCAGTGATCTCAGCAGTTTTCAATATTTCTAAGGCATCTGTGGTCAAATACCAGTAACTTGCGAGTATCTTCTACTCTTGATGACCACGTTTCGCAGCCTTAAAGTAGAACAGAGCGAACTGCTGTACAGTATACTCGTCCCTTAATTGATAGACGGATATTTCGCCCTCGCTATAGGTAACGTAAGTTGGCAAAAGCCAAACGCGCTTTTTGAATCCTTGTTGAGATTCCATCACACACCAACCCATTAGGTCTGATCAGACTTCGATACGTCCGACTACTTTACTCCCTATCCTCAGTTCAGGTGTTGACGCAGGCTAGTCCTGAAGCAACAATATATGTTTAGAGAAGGAGGAACCAATTCCAAACATCTTTTCATTTTTACTCAGTGCTACCAAAATACTGCATTTTATCAGCGTCTTCACCAAACAGGACTATATCATCTGCGTATTCTAAATTCATAAGTGGACCTCCTGGTAGGAGATCAATTCCTGAAAGTTCAGTAGACGAGAGCGTTATTCCCAGCAGTAGATCTGTGATGAAGTTAAACAAAAATGGAGATAGTGGACAGCCTTGACGGACACCACTTAAGGTTGAAAAATCAGATGACAGTTCACCATAAGCTCTCACTCGACTAGTAGTATTCGAGTAAAGAGCCTTCGCAAGGTTTGTGTACTTCTAAGGTACACCTTCAATGACAGGCACTGCCACAGAACCTCTCGATCTACAGATTCAAATGCCGCTTTTAAGTCAAGAAAAACTATCATTGTCTAACTCCGACAAGCACGCCTGTGTTCTAAAACTTGACTGAATATGTAGTCGATACAGCCACGACCTGATCTGAAGCCAGCCTGAATTTCTCGTGTTTGCAGTTCACGAGTCTTAGTCAAGTGCCCGATAATTATTGAGGCTAATGTTCTTAAAGACCTTTGAAGCCAATCCATCTGGACCAGCTGCTTTGCCTCGTTTCAGATTAACTTATAGCCTTTTGATCTTCAATAAGCGTCGGTGGACCTACTTTAATGTTCCATTCAGACTGTTTGGGAATGGTGGGTAACTGTAGAGTAGCTGAAGGCCAGCTGAATGGCTCCCTAAAATGTTCCACTCATCGTTCTAAACATTTGGCCTGAGATCAGACAAGAGATTCGTCTTTTTCCGTGATCATCTCACTTACACTTGAATTCTTAATTCCGGTTCTTTCATTTGTCTGAAGAGTCGTCTGGTGTTGCCTTCAGCCACTGCCTTTTCCATCTCTTTTGATTTCGTTGCGCATCACTGCCGATGGTCTTTCCGTAGACTTTTGGTTAGCCTAGATCTGATTTGTTTTCGCTCTTCATAGTGTTCAGTGCTTGATCGGATGAGTTTACGAGAATCCATCAGTGCAATAGACTTGGAAGAAATCCATCGGCTTTTTGTAACCTTTCGGCTTAAATTATTAATAGATGTTGCTGCTGTTTCCACAGATGTTCGTATATCTTCTCAAGCAACATCTGGTTCAACGTCGTTTTCAGAACTGCCTAGATGTGAAGTCAGTTGTTCCTGGAACTTTTTTTTGGCTTTCTCATCCCTCAGTTCAATTTTAATGGGTCTTAGTGTAGTTTTTCTGCGTCCAGTGAGGCGCAGACAAATGCGTGCTCGTATTAGATTATGATCAGAGTCTAAACATGTATTCCAGAACTAGAAACAGTCTTCTATAAAGCCTCTCCCTCTTATAAGCACCGGGTTTCTTCAGGCTCATCACAACTGATTGAAGCCCTTCGATTTACTCTGGGTGACCGTGAGTTTGACCACAAACGACGACTGTTACGTGGTGAAATTCACCAAAGTTTGCTTAAGGACCGAGAAACCTGTTAGTCGGATCGTGCCAAGGAGTTGGAAGCAGCAGTTGCGTCTGGTAACTCCTGGAAGCTCTTTCAACTCATCCAAGCCACTTGGCATCAAGAAGTCTGGTGTAAGCGAAGATGACGGGATGCCAGTCACTAACATATAATGACGTATTGGACGATGGGCAGAATTCTTTGAAGGGCAATTCAACTGGCCTGCTGCTCCGGCAACATCGACCAGATTGTCCTTTCCTCCATGGCTTGTGACGACTGATCCACCAAATAAGGCGGAAGTCCTCAAGGAACTACAAATCTTGAAGTGCTACAAATCGCCGGGCCCAGATGACTTGCGTTCGGCCCTTTTGAAAGATGATGATGACTTTCTGGTTAAGGAACTGGCTGAGTTTTTCACAAAGATAAGTTTGCTTCCGATTGCGTCCAAACTATTGGTTTCGGTCATACTTCGTAGATTGTTCAAAACCGGAGAAAGATTGACTGACAAGAAGCAGGCTGGTTTTCGTTCTGGCCGAGGATGTATTGATCATATTTTCACCCTCCGCCAAATATTAGGACACTGTCATACTTATCACAGACCAACGATCGTATTGTTTTTTGATGTCAGGGCTGCTTTCGATTCGTTGGACAGGACTATTCTTTGGGATTGTCTCTTAAAAAGGGGTGTGCCTGGGAAGTTTATTAACATCTTAAAAGCCCTATATAAAAACACCTCAGGTAGAGTGAAGGCATACAACCACCTCTCCCCATTGTTCCATTAATGCACTGGGGTTAAACAGGGTTGTCCAATCTTACCACTCCTCCTTTAACTTTGCTACCGATGACGTTCTGGAGACAGCTCCGATGGAAGTAAGTAATGATGGTGTGAATCTGTTATCTGGAGAAAAGCTTCTCGGCCTTGAGTATGCGGATGATACTGTCTTACTGTGCGATAATACCCAAGCCATGCAATCCGCACTTAATCAGTTGGCAATTAGTGTCCGTAGGTATGGTTTGTGCTTTAGACCTTCGAAGTGCAAAGTACTTCTATAAGACTGACAGGACCCTGATCCTGCACTCACCCTGGGTAGTGAGCAAACAAAATTAGTCGACAAGTTCGTGTATCTGGGTAGCTGTCGGTTGTGGCGTGAATGATGAGACCGTTTCATGTATAATGAAAGCCAGAGCAGCTTATGCCAATCTGGGCCATCTATGGCTCCTTCGTGATGTTATTCTGCCTGTGAAAGGTCAGATCTACAACGCATCGGTGAGAGCAGTTTCGCTCTATGTTTGTGAAACCTGGCCTTTCCAAGTTGAGGATGTTAGGCGACTCTCTGTGTTCGATCATCGTTGTCTCCGAAGGATTGCTAACATTCAATGGCAACACCATGTTAGTAATTCAGAGGTTCGACATCGTGTGTTCGGGCCCAGTGACGATAATCTATTGGTGTCACCATCTTGAAACATCGGCTTCGGTGACTTGGACATGTTTTACGAATGTCATCCTAGAGAATTCCTCATCGTGCATTGTTTTCCGACGCTGGGACGGGTTGGGAAAAGCGGAGAGGTGGTCAGTGCAGGACATGATGTCGTGGTGTGAAAGAAATCTGCAAAGGACTGGCTTCTGTTGGTCCTTGACGATTCCCTGGTTGAGTTCCTAGAGATGGTGCAATACAGTGGCTAGAGACGTTATCATATATGGCTCAGAATAGAAACCAGTGGCAATCCTACTGTAATTGTATTTTACTTTCTTCATAAAAATGGACCAAATTGAATAAAGCCAATAATAATAATTTCTGGTGGTAACATTGCTAACTGAACTGCTTCTCTTATTATTATTTCACTATCATACACTAATTTCTGTTTGTTACTGTTCTTTTTCTTACACGCACGTTACATTCTTTATCTCTTAACATTCTCATTGTTATTGTGTGGTGCATATGTATCTGGTACCCCTTTGTACCAATATTTATGTGTTCAAATAAATAAATAATTTTATAGAGTTGAGATCATGAGTCAATTGAAGCTACACCACCACAGAAAACCTGGAAGCACTGGACGGCCGTTTCGTCTTATTATGGGACTCCTCAGCAGTACGCATCCACGATCCCGCACTCGCGAGATTCGAACCCACGACCTACCAGTCTCGAGCCAGAGCCCGTTCTGAAAATAAATAATTATCAAACGTTTATTCATAAAGGATAGTATTCGGAAATTTGCCCGGGATTCATTGATTAATTCAATAATTTTTTTCCTAATCCAACCTAACTGTATGCTTATTGACCCAAAAAGGAGTATAGTTTAGAAGTGATAATAAATATATTTTTGTTGTATCCTAATGAGTAGAAAAATTATATTTCTGACGTTTCGTAACATAATCTAGGCCACTTCTTCAGAGTATTTACTGAATAAACGTCAGGAATATAATTTTTCTACTCATTAAGATGTAACAAAAATATATTTATTATTAACTTTCTACCCAATGCTCAATTTATCAAGTTTAGAGGTAGTTTAGTGATATTTATAAATCATCTTATTTCTAGAAATTAGGTTAAAGGTTTGATTTCCGTCCCGACTTATTTAGTTTGAATAGCCAATTAATATTAGTGTTGTTTATACTCTTCAGTATATAAACCTGTAACTCGGTAAATAAGTTATATTAATCGATAATATCGAATAAAAATTTCAAGTTACTTAGTTACTCATTTAAGTTTAGGAATATTCCATCGTTACCTCTTTCCTTTCTCAATTTAATGAAAATTGTTAATGTTAATAATAGCTATGAAGCTGTAATACAATGTTTAAAACTCTTAACCTTCAACTATTATATCATGAGTTCGAGTTCTATCTCTTCTTTTTGAGTTTAGGCATTCGGATAATATCATTATCCGTATAGTTTAACGGTAAGATTACTAATCTGTAGTTTCAAAGTTGAAATCATGAGTCAATTGAAGCTAGACCACCATGGAAAACCTGGGAGCACTGGACGGCCGTTTCGTCCTATTATGGGACTCCTCAGCAGTGCGCATCCACGAACCCGCTCTCGCGAGCGAGATTCGAACCCACGACCTACCAGTCTCGAGCCGGAGCCCTTAACCGATAGACCACTGAAGACAATTGGTGAATGGTTGCTCAACTTCGTGGATCAGTTGAAGTTAGACATTAACACCGTTGGATGCCAGCTCAGTGGTCTATCGGTTAAGGGCTTCGGCTCGAGACTGGTAGGTCGTGGGTTCGAATCTCGCTCGCGAAAGCGGGTTCGTGGATGCGCACTGCTGAGGAGTCCCATAATAGGACGAAACGGCCTTAAAGCAGTGCATCCAGGTTTTCCATGTTGGTCTAGCTTCAATTGACTCATGATTTCAACTTTGAAATATACTGAAATCTCCACAAACCCCCTTAAATATAATCTGTAGTTGTTGAATTAGTTGAATAATCATAAATGACCACAGTCATACCTTGTCCTAACTTCTGTACAATTAATTTTGTCTCGATTTTGTTTTTGTTCTTTTTTAATTGATTTTGAACAATTGAATTTCTTTCAAAACTTATTTGTCATTTTTAATCGATTATAACCTCCTCTCTTCCCAGTGATTACATGGAAAATGTTGTTTTCTTTCGTTTATACACATTGTAACTCATGTCTAGCTCTTAGTTTAAAAACAAATCATTGACATAAATTGACTAAAGAGGGTAAGGGATAATGTAAGTGAGTGTCGAGAATTCATATGTTTATTGAGAAGAAAAAAATTCTTCACAAAACCCCTTCTGATCTATAATCATATGCTCACTAGTGACTGACTTCAAGAGATATTTCCTTGAGTTCTAGTGGGAAGCAGTGACTATTGGAGTTCTACCAAGGCTGTTGTAGAGATATCAACTCACTGAAGACAATTGGTGAACGGTTGCTCAAAAACATCGTGGATTGGTTGAAGTTAGACATTAACACCGTTGAATAGTGGCCGGCTCAGTGGTCTATCGGTCCAGTGCTCTGACGCAAGACTGGTAGGTCCTGGGTTCAAATCTCGCGAGTGCGGGATCGTGGATGCACACTGCTGAGGAGTTCCATAATAGGACGAAACGGCCTTAAAGCAGTGCATCCAGGTTTTCCATGGTGGTCTAGCTTCAATTGACTCATGATTTCAACTATGAAAATACTAAATTCTTCATAAAACCCCTTCTGAAGAAAAAAATCACTTTGACTTGTAACGAAAACAAAACCATGTTTAACAGAATTTTATTATCACTATTATTGTAATTGTTATCGTTTTGAAAAATAAGTATATATGTATATTTGGGATTGTACAGCTTTGAAAATGTATTCGCCGAAAAAAGAACTGTTCACTGAACCACCATTCTTTCTTATTTCATGTCTCAGTGGGTGTATTCCATTTACTTAAAAACAATTTAATCGACAGACAAGACATTAGAGTGAGATTTTTAATAAATTTTCTTTATTATGTGTCTAAGGCATATATTCTACACAATTGATCTTTACTGATTAATATTTGTCAAAACTCAGTTGTGTATACTGATTTGTATGTTCAACTTACTTTTTGTTTAAGTGCTGGTGATATTATTTGATTAATATAAGCTGAAGTACGTAGGGCTAGATTTGAATTCCTGATTCTCTAAATAAGAGTCTATTGATGATATCTATTAGTTTAGTTGCTCCTACATATTACCAAACGTCCTCCTATACTTTCCGCTATCATATACTGGAGTATACTACGAGCTGGTTTTTATGTCACAACCATCTCAGGTAATGAAGGCCCATAGCTTCATTAAAGAATTTTTCCATCACTATCAAGTACTGTACACGTAATCTCAAGATTACCCAGTGATTTTACCGTACATAATATATTTTAAAATATTTTAAATGGATCTGAAATTCAATACTTGTAGCTCACTCATGTCCTCAACTTTTAAAGTTGATCTTGTTCAGACATAAATTAATGCAGAGTGAAATGCTGAATAGTTTACTCGCATCCTGATAGGTTGATGGAAATTGCATCTGTTCTAAGGGAGGTTTATGTGCTATGGTCTTAAGTGATAAGTACTGGGCTCGAACTTTTTTCTACACTTTTAAAAAATGTAATAGACAGTGTTTACATTTATTCCACAATATTCATCTTCCCCATTTCACAGTGTTAGGTATTGGTATATTCAATTAACCTTTTTTAAAGTAATGGTAGCTCAATATTTAAGACATGTAGCTTATAACCATTGGGTTACTTGTTCGAATCCCGCACCATCTGACTGTTCAGGTAATATCACTAGCTTTCTCTTTAAAAGGTGTAGGTTAGTATCTAATGTGCAAGTCTATACTATATTGCTAAATTATATTAAGACATCATATAACTCTGATCAGCTTGTCAGGCTTTAAATTATCTCAGTTTTTCATATCTCCATATTATGTTAGCGCATCTGAGATTTAATTTCGTCTGTTTTTTTTGGAAAAAAATGTCAGTTTTACAGGTTACCCGAGATGATGATAAAAGTCGAATTCGTAAAGCATATCATGAAATGGCAAGAAAACATCATCCAGATAGACAGAAAACATCGGAGGATAAAATAAAAGCGGAGGAACGCTTCCGTTTAATCAATACTGCCTATGAGGTATGTTTAATAAGTAATTAAACAAATTATATTTAAACTTTGCTAATCTAAAGAAGCATTAAATTGGTGAAAGGATCTTTGGAGTTCAGGCATATTAGGAGTGAAACAGTTAGAAGTTAATGATACTTGATTATGTCGCGTTGTGTAGCACCGATTAGTTGAACTTGGGAATATGACCACTGAATTTCAACTTTCTAGTCTAAAGTCAACATGTTTGCTGCTGCATCTTGGGCCTAGGTTGGATTCTTGACTGGGTTATGGGTGTCTACTTCCGAAGAGAGTTAAACCAAAACAAAACAACATTCTGTTAGTTTCTGTTTTTCCATGGTTCCATAATTAATATCAATCTGTGACAAGAATCAACTTAAACACTGGATGACGATATTGTAGCTTATGTTTTTCAGAAGTCTATCTCCCGATTCTTCCATCATTTAAAAAAAAATCCGAATGCTTACATTTATACCTTCATGAGTACATCTGATTCATTGAGACCGATTTCGACTCATGATACCTAGAGTCTTCCTCATAGAATACGGTCAATCCCACTCACCAGTTTGTGACTCCTTGGAATCATCTGGTGTTTTAATAGTGACTGGTGTGTATAAAACATATTAAACTTGCTTTATTTAGCAAAAGGTTCACATTGTCACCAACTAATTAACCGTCTTCATGAAACACCCAGAACCTCATCTCAACTGTACTCACGACATTGAAATATTCAAAGCATCATCAAATTAATATAATTTACACTCATATTATTCCAACTTAAACCATAAGTAACTTAATTTCCCCCCTATTATTTCAGATTCTTAGTGATCCAGAACAACGATCAGAATACGATTATATGCTTGATAATCCAGATCAAATGTACTACCATTACTATCAGTATTATCGACGTCGTGTTTCGACAAAAGTTGATGTTCGATTGGTAATTGTTTCAATTCTTCTCATTATATCATCTATACAAGTAAGTTTTATTATTACTGTTGTATTAGAAATATCAAACAAAATATATTGATTCATTTATATGATGATTATTATAATTATTTGTAAAGGGTTTGCATATTCGCTACCCACCTTTAGCTATTACCTCAATATGTAGTGGTGGAGCTTGAGTATCGTAGTGTCTTAATCGAGCTATATTGACCGGAATATTTGCTCCGATAAATCCTACCATCCCAGGTAATTTGCTTAGAGAGCTGTAGAACTACATGCATTAAGGTTCAAGTTCTATTACTGACTACAGATGTGTGATGACAATACAATGGTTCCTCCGAATAATCATCATCTGGGGCGATACTGACTTTCCACAACGAAAAGAGCTGGCTAGAAAAGGTTTATCCTGAAAATGGCCGTAAATTCTTAAAAATACACTGCTAACACGTAAAACTACTGACAAAAAGTTTGTGTGTGAATGGCCTCAAGCAGTCGGTCTTTGAGCACCGTGGTTGCTTGTAGTGTCGATTACTATGTTAAGCCCACACAGTATGTTCTAGCTTTCGGATAGGCTAATTTGTTCATCCTTTATGAATCACACTTTGACCTTGTTAATTATTCGCTTATCAACCTTGTCTGTTTTTATATGAGCGTACGTGTGTGCATTTCTCATCTTACTCATCACATGTCTGTAACTTATTTTTGTTTGACTATAAATATCTATTAACGTTTGATTAAATCGAGTTGGCTCACTTGCTTTCTCCATTGCGCATCATCTTGTTTTGCTTCTCTTTTCGACCGACGATTGTACAGGATATATGTATTTAAAATTCATCCTCGTATTTGACTTATTTAATTCCGTTATCCACCAACGCGATTTAGGTCAATGATTATATACGAGGATTGGCGACATATATATTTCAATAACGATAATCACACGATGGAACTGGAGTTAGATCTCGGGCCACTAAATACTCTCTCAGGCCGTCAAGACTACCTCCTAAAGCTTTACTTAAGGTTAGTTCATATATGGGAAAAAATGAGGGTATCTATAGAGTTATACATGACCCTGGGCTTCTGAAAATTCACGGAACCATACTAAATATAGTAGAAGTGTAGGTAAATATTCGATCAAAACCGTAACACGTGATTCTAAATTTTCTAAATATTTCTGCGAAGCTCCTGCTCAACGGCGACTGGCTCAAACGTTTCTTCGTATTTCCGGGCCTTTAGAGATTTTGACGAGGGATATCTTGGGCTCCCCCAACAATTTCCATCGTAGTAAATCTGTTATAATCTTCAACAAATCTGAATTACATGATTATCTCATATTACAACAACGGCAAAATGCCTATAACCAACCTCAACACGGGTTAATTATAAAGAATGGCAATATCTTTTCTATACAACAAAAAAATTATGGTCATAAAGCTAAATTATCGATGACAATGTAATGTTCAGTGTGGTAAATTTCAGAATTTAACCCTTCCTACACTAAACTATTCTCATTGTCATTCTAAGCTACAAATCTCTACAATAGATAGATGTATCTAGCTGTAAATCTCATCATTTCAGTAAAAGATGAATCATTATTCTAACGAGTTTTTGCCTATGTAATAAGAAAGTATTCGATATGTGAATGAGGTTTATCATTACTAAAACGAGTAACTAACATGGCGATAGATAGATAGATAGATACACGAAATTCAGTGATACAGTTTATTCGATTGATTCCTACTTACGACAGTGAATTATTGACATAAGTCCCCCATGAGCTGAAATGAAAAGTCAGAACTACTGACTAAAAGAATAGGTTTTCTTTTCTAATAAACTAACATGCTTATATGCCAAGTATTGAACACAAGAATTGAAATACCATTACCTCAGTTCATGGGGTTGGATTCAAAACAGATTTATTTTTCGACAGGTAAAGGTGGTACTCCGGTCCAATCAGATAGACCAAATAATGTCAGAAACTCTACTGGTCACTTTCTTAGGAAACAGGCATGCACTATTGATTGAAATGTGGTTTAAGTTTTTGAGTAACATGTTTCTAGATTTATGGATGATCAGAACAGGGACTTATGGAGATTGTAGTAATTTAAATTGCGAAATTTATGAGTCGATCTAAGCTAGAGCACCATCGAAAACTTGGAAGCACTGGGTGGCCGTTTCGTTTTAGTATGGGACACCTCGGCATGCGGGAATCGAAACCAAAACCTTCGGTCTCGCGCGTGAACGCTTAACCTCCAGGCCATTAAGCTGGCATCCAACAGTGTTAATGTCTAACTTCAATCGATCCTTGATCTTGCGCAACCCTTCATCCATTGTCTGAGGTGGAGAGCGGAGGTCCTGCGGTTCATGTCTCGCGTGCGGGGTCATGGATGCGCACAGCTGAGGATTCCCATACTACGAAGAAAGGGCCGTCCAGTGCTTCCAGGTTTTCAGTGGTTGTCTTGTTCAGACAGACTCACGAATACAACTACTAAAATTTATGAGTGAGTTGTGCACAAAATTCTCGATTCAGTAAACGAATAAATGCTCTCTACTCACTCTTGACTTTCTCATTCAGGTAACTGGTTTTGGGATACATATGTAAAACGAATATATAAGTATCAGACTCGGACTAACATGATTAACAGTTACTCAATAAATAAATGATTAGAGGTTATAGTAATGATGGGATCATTTACTGTCCATTGTAATGAACTATCAGGGTTAATTCTTGCTCTGTCATATCAGTTTGTTCACTGATCATTCCTCTTTTTTCTGAAAAAAATCCTTACAACTTGGCTGTATATATTTCTTTTAGTATGCTGGTCAGTGGACAAGTTATAATCATGCTCTAAGTTATTTACTGAAAGATCCAAAACATCGTGCCAAAGCAAAACAGTTAGCTATTGCTGATGGTCGTTTAAATATATCCAAATATGAAGTTGGCAGACGTTTAACACGTGATGAACTGAAAGAACGTGAAGAACAACTACTTCGGAATATATTAAAGGAGACTGTTGAACTTCGGTAAATAAATTGGAAGTGGTCAGTTTTCGTTGTATTCAATGCACTTTTGAATGTTTCGCGTTTTTTCTTCTCCTTTCTTAAATTCCTAACGGTTGTTTTGCAGGTGTTTTCTTCTTTCCAAGCGTAATACTTACAATTTTTAATGGATTTCAGTATATACATTTATGTGTTCATGTTTGGCACCAATTCCTCAAATTAAAATGCTCACATTTTCCACCTATTATCTAAAACTTTCCAGATATCCTTCTAAGGCCTATATTTTTAATAATTAATTCCAGTTTTTCATCAGTTAACTCATTAGTTAAGAGAGAAATTAAAGCTTATCATAACCTAAGGAAACAACATTTTAATCTTTTAGAGAGAGCTGCATTTTGACGCTTTGGTTAAACCTCATATCAATGAGATTTTATTGTGATTTATTTATTTAAACACATGAATATTGGTACAAGGAAGCACCAGATAAATATGCGCCACACAAATCTCATTTGATTTGTGTGAGTGCTGTGATACTGCCCAGTTGCCTAAAATGAAGCAGGTGGTTTTCTTAGGGGGCCACAGCCAGAGCCTTTGACCTAAAGGTCTGATCCACAAGATAGTGGAGCATCGTGAGGAGATGCAGTCCCATGGTAGCCGGTGATCAACGATTGATTCGTACGCCATTTGTTCCCTCAGGATACTGAAGCCCATGTGCACCATTGGTTTGGAGTTAGGGTTTTCCAACTCCCCTAGGTGGACTCGCCTTGTCCACCAACCCGATTAAAGCGCCGGATATTCGCTTTTCGTCTTCTCCATTTCGTAAACAACACCTGTGTCACGAGAAGGCAGTGAGTAGGACTTCCCTGGTAGATGCTATACACGCGTAGCCATATGAGAGCATTTCGAGGTAAGAGAGGACTCTCGGCCGTACCAGAGCATTTGGGGGCAATTTTATTGTGAAATGAAGATTTGTGATGTTTTGTAGCTTGTTTGCTCTCTTTGAGTCGGATGCGTTAAAATGACAATTAACTGATAAAAACTTACTAGTCATTGATAATAAGTAAAGTGCTCATTACACATTAAAACAAATGCATACAATTCATATTGTTATGTATGTGGATATTGTCGAGTAATTGCTTAATCGATTTGAGTGCAAATGGCATATGAAAAATTGATTTTTCCAATCGCGTCTACTATTCATTCACATCTTAAAAAGGATTATAGATGCTTAATTGTATAATATAGTAAATATGTGTTCATATAGTAAGTTATTGGATTATTATTGTCAAATATAACTCAGTTCAATTTAGAAAAATCTGACTGTTAATCTAACTATAACGATGGTGTATTCCTAAATCCATATTTGATTAATTTCTGGAATCCAATTAAATCCTTATCTCTAGTCTTTGATTTTACACTTTATTCTTTTTCTCTTGTATTCAAGTTGGAGTATGGAAGCGATTAGGAAATCGGATTTAGCATTCAATTAATAGACTTATCAATACTAAATCCACATATATAATAATAATGATCATTGATTACTGTGAATTTTATGAAACCTGACCTAACAACATATGAATCTAAGTTCATTCACTTATTATCACCGTAGTAGACATTATCTTTCGGAGAGATTATCAATTAGCCGTAGTCAATTTAAAACCTTAACACAGTTCAAACGATCTCACCTCAGTTCGACATACATACACACAAAGGAGTAATGTTCTCAGCGGCAATAAAAATCTCCAAATATGAGAAATATACGATCTCAAAGAGATATGAGATGAAGTAATCAAAATAGTGAAAAATAAAATAATACATGATTCAAAGGTTAATAAATACTACCACATCTTCATGTTTTCTTCATGTCACGTCATTGTAGATAATGACAACATGAAAGTCTACACCTCGTGACATGGCTCAAATCAACAGTTAAAGTTCTCATGGATTGCCTCACGTGTCCGATTCTGAAGTTTTCTCAACCGTCTATTGATAGTAACATGACACGTCAAAGTAGGAAGTGACTGGAATTATGTAACAAATATCCCCTAACTAATTCAGTCAGGGAAAGTTTTTAGCTTCTTCAACTGACTTTGTCTTTTTACCAAGGGGCTCCTGCGTTGTAACCTTAGTAACGCTCACTTACGAATAATATCTCAATGATACTTATGACTAGTTACTTTAAGCCTACTCATGTTTTTTTCTTTTCGAGGCTCATATTTTACAGCGCAGTAAATTGCATTGTACCTAAGAGTTAATAAAAAAATAGAATATGATCAAGTATAAAATGTCCCATTTTTACGTCTACATCTAAATACCGTCGTACGGCCGAGGGTGGGGAGAGTTTGCTCTCCCTCCTAAAATACTCTCACATGCCCACGCGTATACAGGCACTGCCTTTTCGTAGCGGGGGTGTTGTTTACGAAATTCAGAGTGTGAATTTGTCGCTCACTGGTTGTTAAGGCGATTATTTTTTTTATTCATTCTTCTGATATATAGTTTTCTTACCGTTTTGATGAAATTATCCAAAGAATTGGAATCTATTAGTTTTCTATTCTAGATCTTATGATGTTGCAGTCAGTTAGTCGTTCAGTTTTCCATTTCATTTTCAATGTTAATTTATTATCAAAGCTTCAACGGCACAATTAAGTGGTGTGTCAAATCCGACAAGCCAAAAAACAGGATTGTTTGTAAAAATGGTACTATAGTTACTGAACTATATAAGGTCTCTACAGTATTTACTAAGCTCGTGGGCAGTCAGAAAATTTCCTCCTAAAATGGATATGTGAAGTTATGTATATCAACATACGATATGTGACAGCTAATAGCTGTGTCGATATCATAATGGCAAATGATTTCAAAATGAGAATAAAGAGAATCAAAATGTAGAAACTTTTATCACAAAACAAAATTCGAAAATATCTATTGCAAGTATTAAAGGGACGCGATTAAAATAATAAACTGAATCTTATCAACTTGTGTCCATACTCAAGAATGCTATGACTACATATACGTTGTACAATATGTTCAAAAGTGATCAGAAATGAAACGGGTTACTGAATATCAATAAGTAGTTTAAAGGAATGCACAGAAGGAAGTAGAATGAGAAAGCAAGTGACAGATGAAAGCAAACCCTACACTTTATATTTGTGTTAGTGAGCACACATTTCCATATTAAATTAGTCACTCAAAGGGGAGTTTCTCTTTTTCTTTTGTATTTAATTTCAGAGGTGATTGTTGCCGACCCAGTCTAAAACGTGTTCTACTGGTTAGAATATTGTTTTTCCCCTGGACTTGTTATATATGGTTACGTTGGATGCTTTCTTGGGTTGTAAAGTATTGGATACTTCGTAGGGAATATGATGAAGAGGCGCGGATATTTATCACTAGACGTCGCTTAAAAATAAGTGAAAGTGAATGGGATTATGCAGGCGTAGAACAGCAAGCGAAGTATTTATCACAAAAACTTTGGATTAGCGAGAATTATCAGGTTTGTAGTTTTTTTTTCTAATTTAGTGTGCTATTGATTTGTTACTTGAATAGGTTGAATGAGAATTGTTGGTGTGCAAAGTATTGAGCAAGTGTAAGGTATGTGTTCGTCATCACAGTCAGTGATGAGACAGCCAGCTTTAAACTAGTAGTTCATAATTAGTCAAACATAAGCAACGTGAAACATTGGTACATCTATTCGAGTCAGCACACCATATATCAACACAGTGGGATGAAATCGTCAATTAGTACCAGTGGACATAGGAAAAACTAAACACATAATGTGATTCAAATAGAAAGAATGAATTGGTAGAAAAGAAAAACAAAACGACAACTCCAAATCCCACTATCCAAGAGGGGGCAGAAAGTGGATACATTGGTGCCATCGCGGTCAATTCTAAGCCGTATCATCCCAATTCTAATCATCCATTATAAAAACTTCGCAGGCATCAACCTGATAATGTTTACTTACTAACACATTTCAATATAGTAGTCACTAACCTCATGGACTGATGTCACATCTTCGTGTGGCAGCCCTTAGGTCACACACCTGTACTCCACTTCTCTCGTGTGTTTTTTTATAGACAGAATGTATTATTAGTTCTCCCACACAATACATATAACTAGAAATCGAGTGTATAAATGTATACTTGGTAAATGATTTATATATTGTTGTAGGCATTCAGTAGGTAATCCCTTACTCGGGTCTCAAGTTTTCTGTTCATATGGAAGCATTTATTTCCCTTGATTATCATCTAGCTCCATATTTTTTTAAATCCAATAACCGCCGATCACTGTTCCGATTGAGTTAATTAGGCGAAGTATCCATAGAATTGTTCCTAATTTTCTTATCAAATAACAGATGCACTGTGGTCAGTAATCCAAGTGAATAATAGCTGTTGTTGGACGTTTTTCGAAAGCAACTAATAGGAATTGAAATTCAATAGACGCTTTATATCGCTTTTACAGTGTTCGTGAAAGTAGTCATGATGTGCAGAAATACTGAAGTAGACATGCACATGAAAGTTACTATTTTTTGTACTAGGATAATGTTTCTTTGACAGGATCTTTTCGTCACCCTAGCTTCCTAATAAACTCGCAGTTGTTAATCAACAGATAAAAAATATTAAATTCTGACCTATCAAACTATTTGAATCAAATGTTTTTTTGTCAATGTTAAAAACCAAGATGGACTTCTGTGTAGAAAGCCATCAGGAAGTGTGCGTTCGGTTTTCAATTAGTACGAGCATAGTAGGTCAGTTGACTACTTGTGTTAGGTTCTAGAATAAGTGTCTTTGTAGTAATCTAGTTCCTCTTTAAAAGAGTTTATCGATGAGACTGATCCTACTTACTTCTTGACAGGTTGTTTCAGTCGTTAATCACTCATTATTTTTAAAACTATTTTATGGTTGACGCGAAAACGTCCAGCCTTAGAATGAATAGCAAACATCTAATGTTAAATCCTATTACTAATCACATGTTGTATTTAAACGCACAAAAATTAGTACAAAGGGCCACCAAAATGTATACGTGCTACACAAAGTATTTGCCATTCTATTTTTGTGTTGGCTGGGATACTGCCCGGGCACCCAAACCAAAACAAGTGTCTTTCTTAGGGAGCCACTCCCTAAGCCTTTGACCTAGAGGTCTAATTCACAGGGCAGTGAAGCAACATTAGGAAATGCAGTTCCATAGTAGCCGGTGAACAACAGTAGGTTGATACACCATTTTCCCTCTCAGGATCGTGGGGTTCACCTGCACCATTTATGTAGAATTAGGGTTTTACAACTCCCCTAGGTGGACCCTCTGTACCCACCAACAGATTAAAGCGCCGGACATTCGCTTTTCGTTGTTTCAATAGTGTAAACAAAATGCAGTCCACTAGAAGGTAGTGAGTAAGCCTTCCCTAGTAGTGGCTGTATACGCGTGGTCATTTAGGAGCAAGAGCTCTCTTTCTTCACCATCGTTTGCACATAGGTACATATTCAAATCTTAAAAAAGTAATTTTTAAAATCCATTTCAGAAATTCCTTGCAGATCAACAAGAAGCGAATCGAATTCGAGCAGCTGAAGATACTGATTTAAAACGTTATAGACGATACACAAAACGTGCTGGACCTGCCTCAGTGAATCTTGAAGATTTATTTTAAAATCCCCGCCATTTAAACTGGCTATTAATTGTCTAATGTCCTTGTCTATCCTACCTTATTCCCCCCTATATATATATATATATATATATCGGGCAGGCGATCATAAGTTATTATGTATGTCGTAGGTACACAGTTTTCTTTAACTAGATTGTTTTATGTATACATAAGAGAATAGTCGGTGATTTTCATTCCATACCCTTCATTATGCTCTTCTTCTTGTTCTCCTTCTTTTCTACAGTTGAAATCTTTTTACTAATATTACCCTACCCTTATTTTGTTTTATGTGATAAAATTACGTATAACTTTTGAACGCAGTCGTATGTTCATTTCTTATCCGCCTTAAGCTCTGTCATGTGTGCCTTAAATTTTGCTTTACTGTTAGACTTGGTCAATCCTACAATTAGTAATTATGGTTTGAATTGTTTAACCAAAGTTTGTATAAATAAATTACTATTTAACAGATTTATACATTTTCTATTTTGAATAGAATTTGTTTATTGTCTTTTATGAGGATATGCTTTCCATTGTAATATGTCATGGATGTAAATTAATGTGTTTTGTTTCTTCTCACGATTACTGTCTGATCATCTCAGTGTTATAACTCGATTTTCTTTCTTCAATAAATTGATAACTGGGGTTCTGTACTATTCTAGTTATGATTCTACAAAGTATGATTTGGTCGACCAAACCATCCAGCTCAGAGAAAAAAACTCCATCAAAATCACCCATCTGAGCTACAAATCTTCTTCACCATCTTCTACAAAGTAACATGAATAATATTAATTCAAATGACTACTTATAATGCAAGATAGCTGAAGTCAGTTCTCTAAAATATTATCGATCGAAAGCATTTCTCTGCTTACTCTAGTTATTAAATTACTTCTGGAATTCGGGGGAGATAAACGTTGATTGTGTGTTTAGTTGAACGTTTGCAATTCAAGCGATGGTTATTTTAAGGCGAATTTCGATTCATTCTCCAAGTACTTGGCTTTAAACAATACTCGATGTGTAAAAGTTTGTAATTCTAGCAAGTTTCCCAAATAAAAGCAGGTGAAGTGAGATCCTAACTTTGGACTTAATGGTCGAAAGTTGAACTCCTTAACCATTACTACACTGTTCCACTATTTAGTCAATCCTGTGTTGAAAATAGTGATATTAAGGTAGACCTTTAAATTAACCTACCATTATCAACATAAAACATGGCACTAGTATACATCAGTTCACATTGTTAAATCTCCTAACACCATAACAGGCAAAAATTTTAAGAAGTGAGAGATATGAGAGATACTTAAACATTTAGCTAAGCTGGATTATGTGATTGGAATAACATCATAATCCACTTTAACTCTGTTAGAAGTTTAACTATGTTCGCAATAGTATTGAGTAACACTGGATTTTTCTGAGCTTCTTTGGATGTTGTTTGTTAGCTTTCTTTATACATACCAAAGTTTGGGAATTCTATTTCTTTTCAAATAGATAATAACAAATCAGTTTCATATACTATGAACTTCAGTAAGTTCGATCTCTAAATCATCCGGTAAATATATGCTATTCTCTCTGAAGTACTATATTGTGGATTACATAATCGGCACAGTCATCGATGTGCGCGAAGACGCTTTATGTGACTGTACGAGGTAGTAGTTCATATCTGATTCATTATTTTGGGAAATATAACTAGTTAAATTATTCTTCTCTCTACTTGTTAGTAATGAATGAAGACAAATTACTAAGAAACAAATTGATTCTTGGTGTAACTGGCAGTGTTGCTGCAATCAAAATACCATGTTTAATAGAAAAACTTCTAGAAATAGGATTTGAAGTTCGTCTAGTTGTTACAGACAATTCACTTAACTTTTTTTCAGTAGACACTGTAAGTGTCCCAGTGTACAAAGACATAGACGAATGGACAAGTTGGAAAAAACGTGGTGATCCTGTGTTACATATTGAGGTATGAACTTATGATTATTTGATTCTAATGTCGTTATTATTATAGCTTAGAAATTGGGCAGATATACTACTAGTGGCTCCATTGAGTGCTAATACAATGGCAAAGATGGCATATGGACTAGCTGATAATCTACTTACAACACTTGTACGTGCATGGTGGTTTCCCAGTGAACAAAATATTGTCAATAAACCAGTATATTTTGCTCCTGCTATGAATACTTTAATGTGGCAACATCCTTTTACTCATGAACAAATTGAACGTCTAGTTGATAGACTTCATTGGAAATGTATAAATCCTGTCCATAAGACATTGATTTGTGGAGAGACTGGTATTGGAGCGATGGCAGAAGTCAGTGATATTGTTAATTATTTAAAACAAGAACTAAATAAAAGCTTGTTATAACTAGGTTGTTGTAAAACATCAATAGAATTATATAATAGGAATGATCCAGTTAGAGTTAAGAAAACGACTATCAGGTTTTTTACTCTACATTTTAAAAGGGATGACTTTGACTTAATTCAAGTAAAACGAACAGTGCAAGCAGTTTTTTATGGTGCTCAGAAAGTTTAAAATGGTTAGTAGAGATTTTTGTGGTCAGAGTAAAAGTAATAGTGTCAAACGCCCAGAGAACCAACAGACGTACATAGATTTTGTGGTAAACCCAAAAAGAAATTGTTTTGTTAGTGCGTCACCGAATAATAGGCGACCTAGTGAATCAGGAATGTTGAAGTAGATCACGGTTTTTCACGTATGACTTCATATCTATATGAAGACAGCGATTGTCCTCCTATAGTTTTCGTATTTCTTCACCGGATTTATAAATAAAGGTTTTATAGGCGATGATAAATGTTATATCTAGAGCTTTGATTCTTACTATGCTGCGTACTACTTGAAGGATCGAACCCGCAAGACAGAAGACTAGTAAGTAGGAAATTTTATTTTCCAAAACAGTGTCAAATATGGTACAAAAATCTCGTGTATTTATAGTCTGGCTGAAAGTAAATCATCATTTCGGACAGGCAATAGGCGCATAGAGGATCATTCCAATTCATCCAATACGGAAGCTACAAGTCGACATTCTAGAATATTCCCCTAGCAGTGGTTGGATGGAATTTCTTCGGCTCTTTCTGGGCTTCTTGAAGCTTCCTAGAGTTTGCCAACGAGCCATCCTCACAATAAGTTTTCTAAGAATTTGTTTGTGGGTATTAGAAAGATTTAGTAAGAAGTAGTCAGTATGAATAAATTTATACTTAGATTGATATTGTGTTGCGATATTTCTACATTCTTAAATCAGGAAGTTTATTATAGGCCTTAGAAAACCAATTCTATAACCACTTAACTGCAATAAGTTTCATCGCTTCTGTTGCGAAATGTTTATGATATCTAAAAACTCTACTCAGTAGCTGGAAGTAGATTTAAAATCACCTGGTCATTTTAAACATCTCTGAAGTTTGTCCATACATGATACTTTTACGAAAACATTTATTGACTTAGGGGCAAAGTAAAGTTTATTTTTAGGGTGATTCAATCAAAAAGAACTTTAAATAATGCAGGATCTGAATAGAATATTGAATATTTTAAGCTGGTACGCTTAACGTCACTTCACCAGTATCGAGTTAACAAGCGAGAAAAATTTATTAAAATGTTTACTTCTAGAAATGCCTGAGACAAGTAATCACGAAAGCTTAATCCTTAGAGTTCGCCACTGACATACAGTTATATTAAGGAGGTTCCCTAACATAATAACGAGCAGATTATTAAAGGTTTGTAAACTTAGGTTATAGTTTCGTCACTTATGAGTGCTGAAAAACCTGGATTGGCGTTTTAACTTCACATAGGGATTTATTTATTCATTTACCAAGTGTTGTATAGAAGGCACTGTATTTTAAGAGCTGTTGTGCATAAAACTATTAAATATGAACAACGTAATAAGATTGGGACATTTCAAACACAACACTTTTAAGAAACTGTTTGCATCGAATAAAATTACCAGTGTGATTCCCGTGTAAGATATACAATCAGATTTTTAATTACAACGTGTAACTCTACATTCGTTATAGAAACAACAATAAAAATGAGCGTATGAGGTCACTATGAGTATATAGAATAACAGGAATTGGTAATTAAGATTTTAGAAGAAAGGTCCCACTGTTCAATTTTAGTAACCATACTAACATAATCCCATTCATTTTCGTTTTATTTATGCTAACGTTTCATCTTGTGGATAATGATAGGAACTTTGGAGAAATTGACTAGTCAGACAGCTAAAGGGGTTTATAACCTGTATATCATAATAGAAATCCAGTATGTTTATTCATTTGAAAATGAATGTAATGTAGATTATATTACCTGTGACATCAGTTGAATGCTTACCTATGGTAATTTGATTGATGTTAAAGGTGGAAGCCGAAAAATAAATATAAAGGAATAGTTAAATGGTTTTGTCGTTTGCGATAATACTTCAGATGCAATATATAAGATAATCAACTGTATAGTATGGCTGACCGTAGACTATGATATTAGATAATCAAACCACTAAACTAGATGATATAAAAATATCCACTATCCAAGAATTGTAAACCAAATAACAGATGAGAACTACCATTTATTGGGTTGAAATACACGTCAGTCACAATGTGAAATCTGAATATTATGAAAGTAAAATTCTTTTTTACTTAAAACAATAGTCTACTTGTTTGGTACTCATCTGTCTTCGCTTAATGTCCAATCAGATCTTACTTTTATTGGTGAAACATCAAAAAACTAATTCACCATTGAGAATGTTGGTGTGGAACCCTAAAATGTTTATTCAAATGGGTCATAGATTTGTTTTGCAGTTTGGTTGATTCACTGCCCTATAACACGAAACCCAGTCGTTGCTTTTAATTTGACTAACTATCAGTCGACTATGCCAAAATAAAATAATCATTTTAACCAATATCAGATGTTTAGTGCAATAGAGTATACATAGGATACTGAATAATCATGAAGAGATGATGCAACTCAGTGGCTTGAGACATTACCAGACATAGGTTGAAAAAAATGGCGATCTTGCTATAGTTTCCCTTTACATTCTTCGAAAAAGTGAAGCGTCTCTGTAACAGATTTATCTCTGCTCATTTTTTCCAAGAACTGAATTTCCTTTCATCATTTTTTTCTTATTGATTCTGATTATATCCACTCTACACCTATCACTTCGCAACCTCATCTATTCTGGTGCTCATTAGTACCAGTGTTTGGTTTATTCATACGGTAGATAGAAACCGATCGTCTCGACAGGTCGATCGCATAGTTAGTTTAGTTCTTCCCCAGTGGGGTTTGATCCAGTCTACATTTAGCAGATGCTGTTAGCATTCGAATCTTTAACCCTAGTTTATGTGTTCATAAGAAATTCGTGACACTCCTGCTCTTTTCTTGGGTTGGTTAAACTTAGTAAATGACTTTAATATTTTGCCCAGATCCCTTACTTGTTTCTCGTCACCTTTCGCATGTATTCTTTACTAACTGATTATTTACAATTCTTATTACATAATCTCGATAAATATTTTCTGTGATTATTATTTTAAGATCTATCTAACCAAGTTTGATCTACTACCTATTTTCAACCATTGGTTAGAAATCTTATTATTCTAGTCAATACTAATACACCATCATTAACCTGTACTTTTCATCTATTAAGGATAGTTACATGGTCTATTTCATGGTGATCATTAACTTATAAATTGTTTTGATTGATCTCATTTCCTCATATACACATATAGATATCCATGTATAGTGGAGTAACACCTAATGCCGATCTAAATGCGAACAATATTATTCACTTAAATGTGTGGTTTCAATTAAAATAAATAAATATAGGGAGTGGAACGTTAATCGCCCCCAAATGCCTTGGTACGGCCGAGAGTGATGAGACTCTTCTCTTTCCCTCGAAATGCTCTCATATGGCCACGCGTATATAGCCTCTACCAGCGAACCTACTCACTGCCTTCTCGTGACACAGGTGTTGTTTACGAAATTGAGAGGATGAAAAGCGAATGTTCGGCGCTTTAACCGGGTTGGTGGACAAGGCGAGTCCATCTAGGGGAGTTGGAAAACCATGGTTCCAAACCAATGGTGCACATGGGCCCCAGTATCCTGATGGAACGAATGGCGTATGAATCAATCGTTGGTCACTGACTATCATGGAACTGCATCTCCTCACGATGCTCCACTGCCTTGTGGGTTAGACCTTCAGGTCAAAGGCTCCGGGTGTGGCCCCCTAAGAAAACCACTTGCTTCGGTTTGGGCACCCGGACAGTATCACAGCCCTCACACAAAAAAAGTGTGGCGCATATGTATCTGGTGCCCCTTAGTACCAATATTCATGTGTTTAAATAAATAATGGCCTCGTGGTGTAGCGGTGAGCACTTCGGAACTTTAATCAGTAGTAATGATTTACTAATTAATATCTATTAAAAAGGTAACCAACTAAAGGCTATTTCATTACTGGGTTAGAATTATAATTTGTACACAGTATATTGTTTTATACGTTGTTTTGATGGATAAGTTAGTCGGAACAAGGCATAGTAAAATAAACTATTTGTAAGCAACTTTTCAGTGTTAAAAAATCAATGGTAATGCATAGAGTTATTCACTTTCGCCAAAACGATGAATCTAGAGAGAGTTTCTGTAACATTGTATCAAACCATCTTTTAATTGCGGACATTGGTACAAGAGGATCAGATGTTGAATTATCACGTGCAAAACTAGCAACATAATTGAATAAACTTTCAGCTGCGAATCGAGTGAATTGAGTCATCTTATCAGTAGATTCTGGAGTGATTTCTTCTGTTTGTTGTGGCAGATTTGTTAAAAGATCAACAGAAATTCCAATCTGAGCAGGTACAACTCCATTTGAGCATTGAAAAGAGGTATTAGTACCAAATGGTTGTACAACATTTTGAAGTTGTGAATCTTCAAAAGATAAATATAAATTAGAACTTCAGTTTTTACTAGAACGAAACTAGTTAACCGTTAAAAATTATGAACAACTAATCATCACTGCATAAAATGTGATTAAAGTGATTCAGTCATTTTGTAAAAGTTTCTGGAGATTGAAAAGAATTTACAGATTCAGATATGCGTAAGCCCATTAATACAGATGTGTGGAGCACGTACAACTGATAACTGGTTGGAATCACAGAATACCAAAAAGTTAAATCACTTATCCAAGTGTAACCAATTGATCATCCTTTTTACTTTACATATTAAATATACTTGCTGATTACAGCTCTTGTTGACTGAACAGAAGACGGAATTTATAGACGATAAACCAGATATTCTGTAGTGATTATTATCACTGCAGGAGATACCTGGTGAGATGTTGATTTTACTGAAACTTTTCTATTCGAAGAAAGACTAGAGTACATATTGAGCCCTCATTCGAAGATAAAATTAAATACTGTTTATCGACTGTTTCCGATTATAAAATTGAAACAATCATGGAAATGTTTTCCAAGGTAATACTTTTGTTTTAGATTATTGGTGGTTGTTTTATCTATTGATCCGTCCTTTTAGCTAACAATTTTTAATGTAGTTCATACAATATCTTCAACGATATACAACACAGGACACTAAAAAACTAAACTAAAAAGCGTTGAAAGACATAAAGATTTTTCACTTAGTGTACATGAAAGTATGGCAGATACGGCGAAATTAAAAAATATTAGTGAACAATTGCTTCTTTAAAAAAAACTAGAAAGATGGTTGGGAGGAAAAATGTGTTTGACCTTATACAGAAGTAGTATAACATGGGAATCCTAAAATGACTAAATACAGTAAGAGAAAAATTTCACAACATGCTGTCCCTTGGTCTGATGGTGTCCAGTAATACCAATAAAATTAGGATAATTGTCGAGTGCTTACAAAACTATTTATTTTGGGGAATTATTTACTATCTTAGACTTATGGTAGCCTATATAGAACCGTACCCATTTTCTCATGTCTTCATATTGGGTCAACAAAATTATTCTGCGACGAGCATGATGGTTGCTTGCACATCTGAATGAGACAGTTTATGTAATGTATTGAAGACAGCGTGGCAAGTGTCTGCTTGTGTACGTATCTTTGTACTCTGTCTGCCTAATAATTTATCTGTTAATTGTGTCACATTATTCTACTGATCTATTAATAAAAGTACGCACATGATTTTAAAAAAATCTTGTGCTTATGAGGTGTGGCAAATTGGATCGATACATATGTGCCTGGTCCTACGTTGTGACTGACTGATTGAATAACATGCACATCTATCTTTTTGTGAATCTCACAATAGTGAACTCACTGCTGAATGTTGGACGGTTATACGTTTATACCCAGAGAACCCAATATCATCCAAGTCCTGTTCTCAAACTATAAACCTTACATAGCAACTTATTACCAATTTCCGTTTTTATCCTTGATAAGGTAACTAATTTAATTGAAATGATATAAGCAAACGTCTGAATAGAAGATCACTGACCTCTATGAGTTGTAAAAATCGTCCATCCAATTCGTGGTAGGATGATGAATGTGCACTAAGGACGAGTTCCATGTTTATATGAAACAACTGTCTAACAATCGTTAATTTTTAACGATTGTTTAACTAGAATAATTCTTCAATGTTAATTGTAAAAATATTGTTTCGTAAATTTTAAAGTTGGTAGGATAATGAGGAGTTAAAGTATAACTCATATTAATAGTCAGTCACAACGTAGAACTTCGTACGTACGTACATCAGTTCGAGTTGCCATAACACATCAGCACAGAGATGCAGTTGTCGATTCAAATCCCATAGTGGTAGAAGTAGTAAGAGTATAAGCATTAATGTGAAAGATTAGGGTTTGAAGATGTTATTCAAGGAGTATAATCCAGTGAAACAAATTTGAAAAGAGAAAAAAGAAAGGGACATAAAGAACTCAGAAGATTAGAATTTGGCAGAACACAAAGAGTGGATGCACCTTCGCCAATGCAAACGATTTTGAGACATGTAATTCAAGGTCTCTAACCATCGATTGCTATCATCTCGTGAATCGCAACCAGGTAGTCCACACCTACCAACATGACTCAATCCACTAATCAGTGACTTCATGGACTTGTGCCACGTTTTGGTTTGGCCGCCCCTAGCTTACTTCCAACCTACTCCTACACCATAAAACATCGCACGTCGGGGCAGTTGGTGGTCGGGCGTACGTAACACATGTCCCAGCCATCTCAACTGATGAAGTTTCACTACTTCATCAATCGATTTGCCATCGTTACCTAGTACCCGTTTCCTAACAACTGCATTACTTACCCGGTGGTCCCAGGATATACGAGCAATGCTTCGAAGACACCTGTGATCGAATACTAGCAGCCTACGATTATCCTCTACTCTTATCTTGGTACTAATATGTCTTATATTTTCCTTTTATGAAACACTAATTATCTGTGGGAACGTTCTAAAAATGTTCAAAAATCGAGATCAAATCGAATAAGTCTGGAGTTTCATTTCTCGCATCGACTAGTGAATTACTAGAATTCTCTATCAGGACACGTAATATCAACATCTGTAGATATACTCAACGTGAGTTTGAGACTTTAGTGTTACAAATTGCGAGGATCAATGTAGGTCGGTAGATCTGTCCTTACTAATGAAGACTGAGATACGTCGACTAAATGATACTCTAGACAGTTTGGACTCATTTCAGTACAACGTAGATTCGACCTGTCTAATGTAATCCTGGATTTAATTCATTACAATACAACTGCTCGATATTCTATTGCGTCATTTACACATTAATACAATTACCAGTCAATATAAACTCAATACTATTACTATTTCAGCTCCTTTATCCACATGATCATACTGTACTTTGAGTCCAATTATTACTACTGTTTGAGTTAGATAATTCTAATGCTTAAAATTATATTCAGAAACGTTCTTATTGAAGCTCTTGTTCAATCTTTTCGCCTTCGGTCACAGGGTTAAGGATAATGAACATGACAGCTTAAGGTCGTCATTTTGGAGATTATTCAAGGAATTTATCTGAGACAGAAATTTATTTATAAATTTATTTGTACACAAATATTGGTACAAAGGGGCACCAGATATATATGCGCCACACATCTTATTTGATTTGTGTGAATGCTATGATACTGCCCGAGTGCCCAAACCCGAACAGGTGGTTTTCTTAGGGGGTCACACCCAGAGCTTTTGACCTAAATATCTGATCCACAAGGCAGTGGAGCATCGTGAGGAGATACAGTCCCATGGTAGCCGGTGACCAACGATTGATTCATACGCCATTTGTTCCCTCACGATACTGAAGGGTCTTCCAACTCCCCTAGATGGACTTTCAGTGTCCACCAACCCGATTAAAGCTCCGGACATTCGCTTTTCGTCCTCTTAATTTCGTAAACAACAGCCGTGGCACGAGAAGGCGGTAAGTAGGACTTCCCTGGTAGAGGCTATACACGCATGGCCATATGAAAGCATTTCGAGGGAAAGAGAGGACTCTCCCCACTCTCGGTCGTACCAGGGCATTTGGGGGCATTGAGACAAGAAACCTGCAGCCATATTGTTAGTCCAAGAAATATGCAATGTATCCAAAGTGAACTGAGTGATGTAGTCCAGTAATTTTGGTCCTTGAGATGACTAATTTGTCAAGTTTATTCAATGAGGATTCTTGAGGACACTATTCGCTACACAGTTCACAGATGTACACATGAATCGTATACAGTACTTTAACGAACTCTAAGTGAAATTATTAAGGTGGTATCAACTATTTGGTCGACAGAGTTCATGCGCCTTTAGTGATAAGTAAATAGTCTTGGGTAGGGGGACCATAATTTATGGACGAATCAATCAGGTAAAAGATAACAGGTCCTGCTTTTTAACGCAAAATTCATTCATTTATTTGACAAAATAACCTTTTGGCATTATAGATTATGTCAGCTCGTGATGAAAACTCTAAATTTTGTTCCTAACCCGAACTATCAACTGTAAGTCATAATTCCAATTCCTTATAAAGGTCTATAGTCATTTGGTCTTATAAGGTGTATACTTTCAAATTCGTCCATAGATTACAGTCTCACGAGACTTTGATATTCATTACATATGGTTATAAAGCCATTTTACATTGCGCTACAATGTGCAAAATTAAAATCTATAATTGCTATTCCAGGCAAACGAAATGAAAGGCTTAAGAAGCACACATTCACAGGTCTTAACATGACTCCTGCTACCAGCGTGGAAATATAAGCATCAGGACAAAAAAAGCCAAACTGCTTATAGCACTGAGGGAGCCCAAAAGTCATGGAACAGAATATAACAGAAAAGGTAAAACTAACTTTTGGCAAGTTTGCCAACTTTATATATCGCGCTAGGCTTCTCGTTCGTTAGAACACCAAGAAAGTGCCAGTTAGGAACCCCATTTTCCTGGATCCCTAGATAAACTAGAAAAAACTACTTCAAAAATCATATGGTCTTACCCCCACCACCCATATTTGGTGGGAAGACAGTTTCCCCTGTTAGAAACACGACAATATGATTCACATCATTTAAGGGTAGTAAATCCAGAAGAAACTGGGACTCTGATACTATATTAAAACTTGTTTGTACCTAAGCTTTGATGTGAACGAAAATTGAACATACTGGTCTTCCAGCAACCAATACAGCAAACATTAACACTAGAAAAACATAAAAAAAACGGGGTAGTGAAAAAGTTCATACAGGGAGCGCTTTAAGTCCAATATTTTTGGGACGAGAAAGAATAAATCAGATAGTTTTTTGCATCTGTTTTTTGGTGGAGCAACACTATTATAAATCTCTGATGGTGTATATGGTGCGTACCCTGAGCATATGGCCGCACTTCACAAACACGACAGTTGTGGTGGGTTTTAGCAAAAGAGCTTATTCCAGATATGAAAATATTCACTGTTACTAATGATATAGAAGAGAAATTATAAACACTACAAACCGAAGTGCATGTTAATGAGCAAGGTAAAACAGTAGAAAAATAACACTTACAAAAATGGCATGTTAAATAAGAAAATGATGCATGATATGAAACGAATGTTACATGTAAGCCCTCTCGGAGATAACAATCACAAATGAGTTTACTTGATTAACGAGGATTCCTCTGCTGCCATGATCCAGCGGTATCGTTCACTGACGGAGGTTACCAAGTACCTGACGTGTTACAGGACAAATCTTCAATGAAATTATGCTATCGCGACGATATACCGGTTACAACAATTTTGAGACCTTCCCGAAAAAAGTGCATGAGGTAATAAGATCTCTGTAGTAAACAATTATTTATAGATTATACGCAGACCAAGTATGTTGTGTGAATAGGTATAACAGACTTATTTTGCAATTGGTTTTTGCTATTAAATCTCACAATTAGATCTTTGTAGTTGCTGCTACTACATCAAATCCACATATTCTATTCTAGCTTCTAGATAGACCAGTTTATTCAATTTTCTCAAACCATATTTCGACCTTGTTAATTATCTGCTCATTAACCATGACTGTTTTCGTATGGTCGTATGTGTGTTAATTGCTTAACCCATTCACTGGGCATCTGTAACTTATTTTTGCCTGACTATATATATCGAGTCAGGCTTGGGTCAATTGAGTTGGTTCACATGCCTCTTTGATGTGCGTCGATTCGTTCTTCTTTTTCACAACGTCATCCTCCGCGTCGTTTCACCTATCTTTGCTCTATTTACTTCTTCCCTCCGACTGTCTGTCTGTATCAATGAGTGTGAGAAATATACGAATCTGAACCCCGTTTTTTCTCTAACGTACGTCAAGTCAGTTATGTTCGTGTAACAGCTTAAGTTCATTACTGTAGGGCTGACCCTAAACAACTAACTACATTTCAAAATAATAGAGCTCAAGTGTGTATTCACTTCCTTATCTCATATGGACACTGTTCCTTATTATCTTATGATGAATGTTGAAAAGATTTGTATGTTTGAACAGGTAACCCCCATCTCTGTTATGACTGTCTCACGACCAAAATGAAGACCTTTTCACTACCAGTCTGGTTTCTTCTATCAGTAGAACGAAGGTTACCTTCAGGCACGAAATTCATACATATAGACGTAAACGCAGTGCATCATACTCAGGATGTAGATGATGATAACAGTCAACATTCTTCAGAAGAGAATGCGCCTTCTAACTCATTACCATAACCTAGACAAAGGAGATGACGTTGTTCATCTACAAATGCTGCACTTCAAACGAATTCATCCTTCAAGTCTAAATATTTTCACTCCCAACCTGGCTTTCTGATCCGTGCAAAAACGGTCACCTGAATTAAAACCATGTACAACCATCCTTGCACATAAGATTGTGTTTCTGTATATTTTCGAGACGGTACTTGTCGAGTCAAAGCCTACATTTTAGACTGTTTCTGTTGAGTAATAAGCCAACATGTAGCGTTTGATATCTGGTGTTTTGAGAGTTGCACAAGCGGCTTACCAAGGACGATATTGGTAAACTGCTGTCACAGTTGTATCCAAGTTGTTAAACGCACTTTCTAATTAATTGAGTCTCCACACTTGTAGTGTTCACTTTGATAACTGTTATAATATCAATCTTAACGGTGCATAAAATGAGAAGGCAAAAAGAAGCAGCATTTACAGTTTATTGTCAAATAACTCAGGTCGAAAAGCTACCAGTACCTGAGCGAATATCAACAAGCGAGACAGCAGCAATTGAGCTAGTAGCAAGCAATTTACAGTCAAATTGAATAAGGGCACAGCAAATCAAAACAAAAGCTGATGAAAAGATTTGCGTGCATACATATATGGGAGCTGAATATGAGTCATAGAATGATACATTTTGACTAGAGTGTCACGTGCTCCAGTGGTCATAACAGTACAAAGAATATGCAAACTGTTATCATCCAAATGACATTGTCTGTCAAGTAAGTTAATAAAAAGGCTTAACGAAATTAACCATAATCGAAATTGATTATAGGATGATTGCTATACACTAGAATTATCAACGAGATTTTACAATGCCTTCAGCCAAACACAGTAGCATAATTATCCAAAGAAATTGATAACACATCTGTGACTTAATACTACCTTGATCTGCGTGTTACTTTATCAAACAACTACGACCTGTCTTTGATAATCAGTCTCATTCCATATTTAATTGTATTTTATTCAAGCTTCAATACACTTAGCTAGTTTAATTAAAAAGCATGCATTTCTGTGAGTTTTTCGAATCACAGTTTATATAAGTACATATTTCTGTTACTGCTTATTTTGCAAGAATATCAGTAACCTAAGAACTGAAGCTCCATGCAGTAAATAGTAGCACCGAGAAGTTTTTTTAGTCCCTGGTAAAATTTCCACATAACTGCAACTTTCGCAAGTAAATCTGCTCTATATCCTGGAATATAGTGATTTGGTTGCTTATATATCTAACTAGAGGAGCTAATATTTATAGTTCATTATGCGTTGTTATCACCTGAAGCAGATGTATAACATTAAAAACCATGAAAAAATCTACCATCTTCAATATCAAACTATTTTTAGCATGAGCGTTAAACGAAATGGTGAAAATCAACTGAATTCACAAAACCATAATAACCTTACTATGTCAGCACTGTTTGTTGGGCACTTTTGATAGCCCTTATGAAAATGCTGTTTCTATGACAATATATGCTTTACTTGCGCTGTCATATAAGGCCAAATCACTAGTCTAATCTTATTGTATGGATAAATGGAAATCAATGCTTTCTTGAGACGCGGTTATGGAAAAACTGTTCTAGCAAGACCCGATTAAAGAATTTTTTACGAATGTATAATTTCATTTACCGCGAGATAGAAATACGGCTTTTAAATCAGTTTTCAAGTCATAGAACTGTTTTGGAAATTTATTTAGAGTTAGTTTTTCACTTAGACAGTGGACATCGTAGAAATAAGGATGAGGCTCAAAAATGTGTCGCGATGTCTCAGTTCATCGCCTTCCTTTGCACATGTTGGCACCAACAGAGTGGCGAAAAAGTCAAATCCGATGTTATTATTAAACGCAGCGTCAAGTGGTCTCAAGTGGAATTTATAACGTTATTATAATCGTGCATCATAAATGATGGCCACCAAATTATAAGAATTGATGACAGTGATAGAGTTTAAGGCGAGACTATAATTTATGGACGCTCTTGAACGCATTTCAAGCGACACTGAGAAATATTAACCAATCAGTAAAGTCAGTATAGATTAAATATATATTGTGCAGAGCAGATTAATCACTTTACAACCTAAGAGATTGTACATAGAATTCAAAGAAAGAAGAGATCTCAGTATGATTTTTTAATTCCAAATGCTGATAGCTTCAAATTCTCAGTAATAAAATTCTGTTGTATATGTAATTTCGGAGCCGAAAGAGAAGTTTTTCTGTGAAGCCAATATTGTCACCGAAGTAAACCTAGGCTCAATATTAGTGCATCAGATAATGCGGCATCTAAAGTAGGACATATACTGGTTCACTCTGATATGTCGAGGAAAGTGACTTGATCAAAGATATGGTCCTAGAATATGGGAGGCTAGTACACATGGCATTGTTTTTCAATGAACACTAGACCTGTTTGTTCATTCAGCTCGAGTCACATTTTGTCCTTGCTAATTATTCGCCCACTCCACCGCATATCATCTTGTTTTGCTCTCTTCTCTTCGATCATTTTTCTCGATCGATGATTGTATGAGATACACGTATTTGAAATCCATTCTCGTACCTGACTTATTCAATCCCGTTATTTACTAACATGAGTTGAATCTATGATGGTATGCGAGGATTAGCGATAAGTATATTTTAGTAACAACCATTCGTGCGATTCAAACGGAGTCATACGGGCCCCCTTAAGAACCACTTTCAATCTAGGTCGATTGGTTATGATCGGTCAAAATCATCTGAGCAGTGTCAAAATATTGTGACTCAGGTGTTTAGCCTTTTCTTTGTTTTGTGTACATACCACACTTCTTATTATTTTATATTAAATGTTGAGAAATTTGTGTACTTGAAAAGATGGCCTCACGTTTCGACTGTTCTGTTCCAAGATTCAAATAATGATTTGTCCGATCACTAGTTTTATTTCTTCTTAAGACAAGAGGAGCACTATCTATCGTTACGATAGGTCTTCAAGCTACCGGCCGGTAGCATTTGTTCGATGTCTCCAAAAGCAATGGAAAACTTTGATATGCGACGGTCTACCTGACTACTCATTGTCCTTAAACTTCTTTCTACCTTAAATAGTCGTAATCACTCTCTTGTGAATTTAACAGAATAAAAATGATGAATATTAGGAGAATATATTATTCGATTTTAAGATTTAGTATGAAACAAACAAAGATTATAATTCATGTATCTAGTTTATAAAAATGTAATTTATATTTTATAGTTTACAATGAAAAAAAGAACGACATTTATCTGATTGATATTACTTAGTTCCTTACGCCTGTTACCCATTGTAGAAGAGCATAGGTTGCCCATCAGAATTATTCATCCAATTCTGTCTTGAGCAATCCATTCCAGTTGTTTTTAGTTTTCTAATGATCCTTTTGGTGTCTGCTTCTAATTCTCTGACGCACTGAGTTCTTTGGTCTTCCTCTTTTCGTTTTTCCTTCAGGGTTCCAAGTTAGTGCTTGGCTCATGACGCGGTTTTGTGATTTTCCTAATGAATGTTCTACACCCGATCCTCCTCCTTTACTCCGGATGCAGAGGCTGCTGCTACATTTGCTGTCTTCATCTGCATTTGTTCGTGTGTATGAGAGAGGAGGGCTAGGTCATCTGCGAAGTCCAAATCATCTAACTGATTCTGAGCTGTCCATTGTATTCCGTATTTCCCTTCAGATGTCGAATTCTTCATAATCCAGTCAATCACAAGTAGGAAGAGGAATGGGGAGAGTAGACAGCCTTGTCTGACTCCGGTCCTTACTGGAAATGCATCTG